TTTCAACCTCATGGCTGTAACCCAGCTTAAGGTACAAGAGACGACCCTCAGATTCTGCCCTAGCCTTGAAACCGACTCCAACAATCTTGAGAAAGCGGAAGAATTTAGCTTCCATTGGATGAATTTAATCGATCAGCCGAACTAGGATATGACATGAAGAAAACTACATCAGTAGGCCAAACAAGAAAAAAAAAACTAGACAATAATAGAACAGGAATAGGCCAAACAAGAAAAAAACAAGACAAAAATACAACAAGATCACTCTTTCCACTAAGGGAGGCAAGCATGCCTACTATTAATACGAGATTTAGGACATCTAACTTAATGGTGTGTGACTAATACTTGGTCAAAACAACTACAACAGTTGAGTAGGATATGCTGATATGCAATGCCACTTTGTGACTAACAATGTGAATAGTCACTGCATATACAAAGGAAAACTAGTCAAGGAAGGGAAGGCAACCGAAGTGATTTTCCTTTTTGATCCAAAGAAAGGGGAAGAATTTTTTCGAGGGTGGGGGTGGAGAGAAGAGGGGACAAACAGGGGTTTCTTCCGATGCAGATTTGTAATATAATTAAGGGGGGTTTCAAATAATTAACTCCTACAATTAGATATACAACCAATTAAAAAGCTCGAATGGTGAGCAACAACAATCGTTTCTAAACCTTCTCAAGATGCAAAGACATGACTAGCTACTGAAGTGGGCTAGTTTAAGAGGACTCTGTGGTGATATTCAAGTATTACAGATTAAGCGGATTCTCAAGATGTGTTTTGGGTTTTACAAACGTGTTAAAGTCAGCAGAAATAACATTCAGCTAACTTGGCAAACAGAAAGAATTATCCAACTACTACGAATTAGTATATTGAAGCATACTCTCATTTCAGAAGCATCACATTCAAATAAATCCGTTAAGGAATTTCGTCGAGCAACTCCGAGGCATGACAATGAAGACTGCTCCAAAGTGTACAAACTAACACTCACCAAAACAGTAGGTAGCTGTTAACCTAAGACTAATAAACGAAAAACATTTCTAGAAGCAAATTAAATCTACCACAAAACTAGAAAACGGACATCCGCAGACGAATTTCATCGAACTATTCAGATGTAATGACAAACTTCAAAAACGCTGCTTTAGAGTATAAAAAAAAAAAAAAAAAAAAACTCACCAAAACAGTGAAATATCAACTATTTTCATCAAATAAAATTATAAAATGAAGGAACATTTCCCAATTTTTTTTTTTACATGTATCTCTGCCACAAAGAGAAACTAGTAGGATGAGAGCAATTGCGTAACAAGCTTGCTTTGAAATGTTACCTCAGTCAACCAAAGGTCCGCCGGAGATCTACAGTTCACCGGTCAGTGGAGCGTTCCGACGACTCTGTCGTGCAATGGACAGATGCGAACCCGAGAAACATTGAAATGGGCCTATATTATTTTTGGAAAATAGAATTGGGCCTATACTATACTGCATGACAGCCCACTTAAAAATAGTACTACGTTCCAATTTATGTGAACCTGTTTAACGAGGCATTTGCATCTATACCCACTTTTTGTGTCACTTTTTAACTTGTACCCGCTTGCAATTACCCACTTTTTCGCATAACTTCAGCATACGGGGCTGAAGTAACAAAGGCAATCACACAAAACTTCAGCATTCTAGTAGTCAGGCCTGAAGTTCAGCTCTAGAGCTGAAGTTTTTATTTTGTAACTGTCGAACTTCAGCTCTAGAGCTGAAGTTTTTGTTTGTAAGCTTCAACTCTAGAGCTGAAGTTTTTGTTTTATAACTGTCGAACTTCAGCTCTAGAGCTGAAGTTTTTGTTTGTAACTGACAAACTTCAGCTCTTTTGTTTGTAAGCTTCAGCTCCAGAGCTGAAGTTTTTGTTTTGTAACTGTCGAACTTCAGCTCTAGAGCTGAAGTTTTTGTTTGTAACTGGCGAACTTTCACTCTAGAGTAGAAGTTTTTGTGCTAGAAGAACTATTTGTGCTCAGGAAGGTTGCATGTATGATTACTAAGTTCCAACAACTCGATTTGTCTTAGCTTCTGAATCTTTTCCACCAAAAACATACGACAATCCAAAATCTGATATTTGAGGTTCATTACCGTCTAGAAGAATATTGTTATTCGCCTTCAGATCTCTATGGATAGTATGTATCCTTTATGAAGATAAAGAAGCTCCTTGGGCAATGATAAAGACACGAATCCTCCATTAATCTAGCATTTCTTTAATTTTTGTTTGAATCTGTCAATTCCTTTGTTAGTAATTGAGAGACCAGGAAGAAAGTGTTCATTTATATAGTATCACTGCATGGGAAGAACATCCTAAGGTTCTTAATTGAGATTCTCCTATATATGATTCGAGAGAGTTGCAAAGCAAGGAAGAGGAGAAAGGGGGCTGAAGTTATTTAAAAAGTGGGTACAAGTTAAAAGTTTTTTAAAAAATGGGTATCGGTTAAATGGGGGCGGCCAAATAGGCGCTCCGTGCAATTTTTACCTGTTTAACTGGGTACAAAGTTTAAGAAAAAATGAAGAGTTTTGTAATTTGTGGTCCTAAACAAGTCAAAAAGGGGTTCAAAGTATTTGTGTGGTTATAAAAGCTTCTCATTAAGGGTAGAATTGTAAGTTTAAGCTAAATTATTATCAAATTTAGAAAGGGATCATTCTTTTTGGAACGGACCAAAAAAGAAATAGGTTCACATAAATTGGAACAGAGGGAGTACCTTATAGCAATATTTAGAGAAAGAGGAATTTTTAGAAACCACTATTGTATAGTGATTATTAACTTTTTAAAGCTACCATATATATAATTATTTTTCATAACTACTATTTATTTATTACGCGACTGTATTTGCGCTACTGTATTCATAAATACAGTAGCAAAATTTGCCTAAAAAATAGGGGAGTCCAGCAATTTAATAATAGAAAGAGGATCAATTAGCGTATATTACTCCTAATGTAACTCAACAAAATCAATTCTACATAAACTTCGCTACTACTGTGCCGTATTTCATGTATTCACGCGATTATATTTATAAATACAATGAGGTAATCTGCCGAAAAAATAATGATTACGGGTGTTTAATAACGAAAAGCGCAATATTGAATTGTATTCAATTTCACTATATTGAGTTCAACTATATTCAAATAATTAAAAATCAAGAAATATGGCGTATACCATTCTATTCAATTCGATTATATACATTGTATTCAATTCACACATATTATTCACTATTATACATTATATTCAATTCGACTGTATTCAAATAACAAAAAAATTACAAACACAGTGATATTCAGTTGTATTCAAAAAATACAAGCCTTCAAAATACATAAATACAAGGAAAAAAAATGTATTTATATAAAAATACAATATATTTGAGTGTATTTGCACAGAATGCAATGTATTTGTATCATTGTATGTGACTAAAGCGAAGAAGAGAAGGAAGTTCACCGGAGATAGCGTTTTCCGGCCAAGCAAAATATTGTATACATTGTATTAAAATTAAAAATGAAGACGAACAAAAATTCGATCCTCAAATCTTCTCCGGCGTAGCCATGCCAGATCTGTTCGCCTAAGAAGTTGAGCCAATAATGAATGATGATGCCGACACCGATTAGAAGCAGCATTGAATGGCGTCGTTGAAGAAGTAGAATTAGGAGTTTGGAGAGTAGAAACTTGATAATAGATCTCTCATACTCTTTGCTTTATCGTCCATTGCTACATCTCCATCTGCCTCCATTTTTATTTTTATTGGTCTTCGTGAATTCATGATTTGTTTATTTTTGCTCGAAGAGAGAGAAGGAAGAGAGAGAGAAAAGAATATAATTGGCGTATTTCATGCCTCAATGATAGGTATAAATAAATACCTGTTTTGATTATAAAATATAAAATGTAGTTATTAGTAATAATATTTTGAAATTATTTTGGTTTATAATAAACGGGGTGTAATAGTTTGGTATAGCAGGTAAAATTTCCTTCGGGGTTTACACTTTGATGATATTTACAAATTACAATACCCGCTTATATTATTAGCTGGTGTTTAGACATAGATTTGGTTAAACTTGAAAAAAAAAGGTTATAGAAGTTGTATTGAAATATAGCTTTTGAAAGTTCAAGTTGTGTTTGAACATGCATTTTAATTGAATAAAAGTTAAATTTTTGTGAGAGGAAAACACTCGCACCTAAAACTGGCCAAACTAATATTTGAAAGTTGAAAATTTTTCTTTCAAAAACTGGTCAAATTCCATGAACAAACAACATTTTCAAACCAAGTTTTATGTCCAAAAGAGGAGTTTTGAGTCAATGGATTTTGGGAACTTTTCAAGGGAACCAAACCGTCAGGAATTTTGAACTTTGTACGTTGACCTTGCATTATCAGATTTTGGTCCGTGATCTGTTTGTTGATCACTGGTGAAATTTGGAGTAACTTCCTAAATTTCGGTCAAATATCACTCCAGAAAATTAGCTACTGTGGCCACTATTTAGCGTGGTGGGGAGACGCAGGAAACAGCTCTGAAGCAACAGTGTAATTTGCAATTTTATATTCCTAGGCAACTGGCTTGAAGGAATACGTGTTTTCAGAAAAATATTTTAACTTTTGAAATCATCATTATTCGTTTCCCAATGTCTGTTTAGATGTAAAATTAAGTGATACTACTGACTACACGATATATGGACGGGTGATGTTCTTCGGTAGTAAAGGTTTAACACAATATGTCTAAGTAAGGATTGAAACAAATTATAGAAGGTAAAAGTTTAAGTGCTTCCAAAGAAAAATAACTTCAGTGCATACGAGAAGAAATCAACTTCGGTGGAGAATATTTTCCGTGGAGGAAATATATTTCGAAATTCAAGATAAATAAACACTAAAAATAATTTCATCAAGGAAAATTGCCGGGTACAGACGGAAAACATGTGTTTATGCATGACAAAGTGTTACCTTAAGTATAAACGTAGGTGACATGCTTAATCCTATAATTAGTAAATAGTAGTAATTAATATAAAGCATAAGAATAGTATTTTAGTGATATTAAAGATAACTACAACGTCTATATGTTCATTAAAGCAAGCGGTATAGAGTAAGAGAAGATAAACGACTTTCTTTTTCATTTCGGCATGTTCCAAACCTTCACTTCAGAAAGACAATATTATAAATTCGAAAATCTAGGGAGAGTAATCTTTTGCAATGGGTGAGGAGTGTTCGTTCCCAGCAGCTAGAGTGCTTCTTGAATAAGCTTTTCAGTGAGACTTCTTGGGAGTCCCATGACATGATCAGCAGTTCCAATCTGTAGAGAAATGGGAAGAAAGAGTATAATCAACGGATCGTGGAATTCTTTTCCCTGTTGTCGACACCAATAAGCTGTCCACTTGAAAAGTTAAAGAGATATTGATCGAGCTGTTGATGATTATGCATGCATTCTGTTTGATATTTCCTATTCGAATTAATGTCCACCAGAATACTTTTGAAGTCTGTAAGATAATTGAAACCTCCAGAGAGTGACATAGAATCATGTCAAATTTATAGCTAAGGGATAACCATATAACCACTCCCATCAAAAGTTAAATATATACTATATGAGAGAGAGACGAACCACAGTATCAACAAAGGGCAACGTCAGTGGATGTTCAAGCATTAAACCACCAGCAACATTAAGTATTATTCCTTCCTCAATCTACACAATTAGCACTAGAAGTTAATGTTGGAGGTAAAGAACATCCCATATTTAAGGACACTGTCATATTTACCAGGCTATCAATGACCTCATCAGGTATCTCATGGAAATATACCTGCACTTAAGCAGCAGAACAGTATACTCCGTGTTAACTAATCATATTATGTGCAACAAAGTCAGCAAGAAGTTCTGTGAGCAAAATCATGTTGCATCCCACCATCAAGAAAGAACCAGTTCACAACAGTAATAAAAGGAGGGGCATGTAGAACATAAAACTAGCCAACTAACAATTCCGGGAGCTGTGAGAAGATTGTATTGGCGTTCCAATAAGCACATAAAAACGGAAGCATTTTGGCATTCTTATAAACTGGGATGGTCAGAGTAAAAGGAAGTCTTCATTCAAGTTAAGTATATATAGGGAAACATATTCATGGATGAAGAGAGTTAATGCTGATGGGCTTTAATTAACCAGTTTCCATCAACATTCACTCTTTTCGCCTGGGATAAGCATTAATATACTTATTTAATATCTATAGTTGGATTTCTGAATAGCTTCAAAATGGCACATCGCCTTAATCCTTGCTCGCACATCACACACGCTTATGCATCAGATGCAGCAAAGCCTACGTCACCATTGGAACATATCAATTTAAGCAAGAATGTACTGTATAAATGCGTATTTGTACTTCAAAAGTCTCCAACACAAGGAATTACTTCACTTGGAGAAAAAGATATACCTCTGACCTTTCCCAAGCTCCTTTTCTTATCCCCTTTGTGAGGTTGGTCACCACAACAGATCCCACAACCGTGGCTTGACCACCAGAGTAGCCTGCAATTCATAACAAGAAGAATGGTAATAATGCTAGTAAAGAAAAAGAACAACCTGACCAGCTGAGACACTGGATGAAACTACAACAACAACAACATAACTAGTGTATTTCCACAAGTGGGGTCTGGGGAGAGTATTGCGTACGCAAACCTTACCCTTACCTTGTGCAGGTAGAGAGGTTGTTTCCGATAGACCCTCGGCTCACGCAAGCATAATCACAACATTCAAGAAAATGAAATATAGCAATGAAGATTTCATGGAAAAGAAGCAGTACCAACAACGAGATAGTAACAAAACAGAGCAAAAGCAACATCAGGTAATACTAAAGTCCAAAAATAAGGCAAAACAAGAGTAATACGTAAGATACTGGATGAAACTGCCAACCACAAATGCAGACATACTTTTGATGAATTGGCGCGCTTCTTCCTTACTTGACGGCTTTTCTCTAATAATTCCTTGGTACACCGCCACCTCGATACCAATAGATGTAGGTAAGATATAGCCAAAAAGATCTATTTTCATCCAAGAAAAAATTCATTAGACGGCTCAAGCACTCTATTTTTTGCAATATACTTTTTAACAGTGATATTGAATAAGATTGCCCATCACGGAGCAAGCCTGGAGCATCCAATTTTTAAATGAATCTTGAGACCAAAGCAAAAGACAAAAAAACTAGCTAACCACACAATATACGTCAATCTAAAATGGCATTACAATATGCATCAGCTGCTCGCAACATTTATCTAACAAAAGAATTTACATCAAGCTAATGTGGACACTTTTTCCAGGACTTCTCCTATACAAAGTTACTTAGTTAAAATAATGTAATGCTATTATTTGTTTATTGCTAAATGTGCCGATATCTCCAACTACTTTTGGAACAAATGAAAAATAGCATTAACTGGTTTTTGGTGAGCCCTCAATTCAATTACTGAAATAACTATGAAAATGGCTTAATTTTCTGCTAGATAACTTGAACTACATGTCATTAGCAATACCATGGTACTTGAAGTATTCCCTAGCAATGTGGAGAAATAAACATACTGTGTCTGCAGTAATCAAGAGAGTGGGATGAGTATTTTCCTCCAAATGATCAGTTGTTTCAAGCCTTGACATAATAGCATCTGCCTAAGAAGAAAAGTCCAGTAAGCAAACATAAGACTTGTTCTTACAGTACTGGAACATGATATCAATGTATTACATATTAGGCACTCGTCTCAATCTATATGGCATGCTAGAGTGTCATGGAATGGAAGGAAAAGAAATGAGTTGATTATAGTGAGCCGAACTACTCAGAATCAGTCGAATGCCAACAGAAGAGAAGTAACCATTTATTGATAGTCCCCAACCATCAAATGGCAATTTGATAACTCAAATAATTGATGGGCGAAGTGGTTAAAAACTTTCACCGGGACACCAAAGATGTCAAGGGGACACTCAAGAATAAATCTCATCCAATCACCAGAATCTTGGATTTGACCTTCTTATTGATATTATATGCTATACAGTTATTAATAGAATTCATCACAGAACTGCACTACGATAACTCCTGGCCGTTATACCTAGAGTTTCTGTTACTTAAAAATCCTACCAGATACACTACAAAGATCTTCCATTCAAGTTTCAAATTGCTTGCATAATAATAAAATTCGATTAATGTTCTAACCTATTCTAGCTACACAAAAATAGGTTTTGGCATTAGGAAACTTCCACCAACTTCATTAGTGAAATTAACTGAAGAAGACATGAAAAATGTTCAAATAATTCAAGAAAGGAGGTGGCATACCTTTGCTTCTGCTAGAGCTACAACTAATTCCTCAGCATTTTCCTTCCTAATGCTCTTTTCGTCAATGTCAGCAGTCTAATCCACAAAACAATTTGATTTTAAGCCAAAATCTACTAGAAAAGACAACCCCTTTTTAGGAAACTTAGACCGGGTCCAGAACCTAAAGCGACCATAAAATTCGAGTTGTAGCGAAAATACAGAAACTTTTAAAAGCAAAATTGGACGTACCATAACTGTAAAATCATAACCCATGTCAGCTAGAATTTTCCGACGTGCCATGGAGGAAGAACCCAGGATTATCTTTCAACATATGGAACCATTAGTCATTTACTTCTACATTCAGTATATCATAGAATTGTAGGAAACAAACATGAAACATTAACTTTCAGATAAGAACAGAGCATTGTGTTAATTGTTAAACCTCAAAACTTTGAGAAAAAATGAAGGCAGTTCATCAGTGGGTGAAAAACAAACCTTGAAGGACAAGTTCTTCGGAGCCATTTGTTTGCCCGCCTCTTTCTCACCTATGTCTAAGAGTGTAACGGTTAGCTTTGGAGATAAGCAAACGAGAATTATCTGAAGAGAAAGAAAACGAGTGGTTTTAAGGTGGAAAAAGTAGAATGACTGGTTATTGCTCGGGGAAGCAGAGGCAGATCTAGAATTTTGAGCCGGAGGGATGTCAAAATATAAATAATTAGATATATGTAAAAGTAACGCGGAGTCAACATATACTAAATATATATAAAATAAAAAAATTATCTAAAAAATAGTATAATTTTCTGGCGAAAGGGTATCACGTAACACCCCTTGCTTTAATGTGGCTCCGCCACTGCGAGGAAGTCCAACCTTTTTTTTGTGCGCATAGCAAGACAAAATAAGATTTGCTTGGTACAACTGCGCAAGCACCATGGGCAGGATCTAGAGCCGTCAAAATGGGTTTGGCCCGTGAGGTCAGCCTAATCCAGCCCGCTACTTAAGTAGGGTTGGGTTGGGATTTTTTTTAGCTCATTTAAAATTGAGGCTTATAAGCCCGACCCAAGTCAGCCCGCTGGCCCTTGAGGCTTGACCGAGGCTGGCCTGGGCCGGCACGTGGGCCAAAAATTAATTAAATTCAAATTTAAATATAAAAAAAAAACTAGAAACTAAAAAATATTAATTATATATAATTCCCATTTTTCAATCTTAGATTGCTCATTTACCCTTGCATATCAACTAGAATTTATATTTTTGACATGCGTGTAGTATGACAAGATTAGTTTTTCTTTTGCTTAACTAACAACGAACTAGAAAAGTTTTAAGTGACCAATAATAATTTTTTTCAAAAGAAAATATTACTTTAAGTGACCAATAATCAGTTTGGTTACTTTAATATATTATTAATTATTAAATTGCTCTTTAGTATAAAAAAAAGGTCAAGTTTTAATACCAAAGAAAATTAACAACACTAGCAAATTTCATGAATTTTAAAAATTTATGGACTATAATGATGAAATCAACAAATAATGTTAAACCTAAATTAAAAAACTTTAACATATAAACTTATTGATGCAATTCCTGAACCTAAGGAAAGTGAAAGAAAAATACTAAAAGAATATTCATTTAACGTTAAAAAAAGAAGAGCTGGAGATATAGAGAATTTGCATTTCAATTACGAGACTCCTTGTCAAATATCAAGATTCTTGTACATTCTAAATAAACAGAAGTCGTTCATATGATTAAAAGATTATGTCACGAAGAAATATCTAATGATTTGAAAAAATATTTTTTCTAAACAAATTGCAGGGCCGTCCCGCCCTAGCCTGCGGACCTCTTAGGGCTGGGCTGGGCCGACAATTTTAAGGCCCATATAGATGGAGGGCCAGCCCCCCTAGCCCATCAAATTTAAAAGCCCACTAGGCTTGGGCTGGGCTAGCCCGTTTTGACACCTCTAGCAGGATTTATGAACTCTGTCTCGTATTATCACTATGTGTTTCTCTTTTATACGTCCTCTAAAAAAGTACTTCCTTCGTTCACTTTTATTTGTCATGTATATTAAAAATAAATTTTTATTTTTTCTTAACACTTTACGCATTTCAAGAGAAGATAAAGTTTTTTTTCCTGTTATATCCACAGTATTTATTACTCATTTCAAATCATTTTCTCAAATCCAATAAAATATGCATCAATTAATATGGGTATCATGATAAATTATGCACTTCATTTATTATTTCTTAAGGGGCGTAAAAAGTCAAAATGTGCCAAGTAAAAGTGAATGAATGTAAAATAATTTTAAAACTCCAGTTTGAATGAGTAAATATTTTTTTGTATTTTCATTTTTTAGTAAATATAAAATGAGAAAACTAATCATATATTATAGTAAAAATGAATCTATGAAAAGAGGTTGTCACGACCCGAATTTTTCGCCCTCGGGAGTCGTGATAGCGCCTACTAATGGGAGCTAGGAAAGTTGACTGTTTGAACAACTTACTTTCTTTTCCATTTTTAATCCTTTAACAATTATGAGCAATAACTTAAAGACAGCGAAATTTATAACAAGCGGAAGAAAACAATAAAATTACTGAGTATGTCCAATACAACTATTTAACAAGACTACCCAGAACTGGAGTCACAGCTTCACAAACGGTCTAAGATTACTACAAACAAAGTCCGAAAGATAAATGATGCACTGTTTCTGAAATAAGTAAATGAAACAGGATAAAGGAATAGAGGGAGATGCGAGGGCCTGCGAACTGCCTTGGATCTCCGTATGGACTAAAGGCAGCCACCCAAACTAAGGTCCAAAAGTTGCTGCTCCGGGATCTACACACAATGCAGAGTGTAGTATCAGCACAACCGACCCCATGTGTTGGTAAATGCCCAGCTTAACCTCGGCGAAGTAGTGATGAGGCTAGGACCAAACTACCAAATAAACCTGTGCAGTTTAACTATATACAGCGGAAAAGAAGAACAGTAATATACAGTCAAGTATGAGAGGGGAAAACGTGCTGCGGGGAAACATCAATTAAGAATAGAAAGACAGCGGGTAAATAAGAGGAACGCCGTATCTCAACTATCAACAAGAATCAGAAATCAAACAAGTGCACGACATCACCCTTCGTGCTTTTATTCTCGTCCTCACCAAAGCAATCAAGTAATAAAAATGTGCACGACATCACCCTTCGTGCTTTTACTCTTGTCCTCACTAAAGCAATCAAGTAATGAAAATGTGTACGGCATTACCCTTCGTGCTTTTACTCTCTCCTCATCGTATAATCAATATAATCGGCATAGAATTGTACATCGTGCGAAACAGCATCACCCTTCGTGCTTTAAACTCTTCCTCACAAATTCATACACGACATCGCCCTTCGTGCTTTAACACTCTCTCACAAAAACAATATACGGCATCACCCTTTGTGCTTTAACACTCTTCCTCACCCAAACAACAATCACAAACAATAGGGCAAGGAAATAAATGAAATTACAATAAGAATCCCGGCAAGGGAACAATAGTTCAACAATCAAGTCCCGGCAAGGGACAACATAAAAAAACCTCAACATCCCGGCAAGGGAGATAACATTAAAAGCAACAATATCCCGACAAGGAAGACAATATAATGATTCTCTTCTCTTTTTCACTTTTACTTCACAACTCACTTTACAACTTGAGCCAATGCTCTAAAAGGTTCAATTACCACTTATACTTTCACATTTCATTATACAACTTGATCCAACGCTCCTCAATGTTCAAATATCACAATTACTTCCACAAACTTTGGCCAACAATAGAAATCATCACCAAGGCATGAATAATACAATGAAGTCATAATAATCACAATATAAGACTCACGGGCATGCTTGACACCAACGTATAGATACTCATCACCATGCTTATACGTCGTACTCAACAAATACCACATAGCAAATAGGACTCAACTCCTAATCCCTCAAACTAAGGTTAGACCAAACACTTACCTCGATGCCATGAACACAATTCAAGTCTTAACTATCGCTTTACCCCTTGATTCCATCACTAATTCGCTCGTATCTAGCCACAAGTTACTTAATTACATTAATAATTGCTAAATGAATCAATTCTAATGCATGAAAATAATTTTTCCAAAATTTTACCCTAAAAGTCAAAAATCATCCCCGGGCCCACATGGTCAAAACCCGAGGTTCGAACCAAAACCCGAGTACCCATTACCCCAGGAACCCAAATATATATTTTGTTTTGAAATCGGACCTCAAAATCTGAAAAACCTAGGTTCTACCTAAAACACCCAATTTCCTCCATGAAAATTATTGATTTTGAGTTGAAATCATGTGAAAAGATGTTACGGATTGAAGAAAACTAGTTAGAAATCACTTACAATCGATTAGGAAGAGAAGCTGCCTTTGAAAAATCGCCCTAGAGAGTTTATGTTTTGAGAAGAAGTGAAAAATGGTTGAAAATGCATCTAAGTTATGAAGTTACAGGTTGCAGGTATCGCAATTGCGACCAGGGTTCGCAATTGCGACCAGGGTTCGCAATTGCGAACCCAGACTCTGCTGAGCTCGCATTTGCGAAGTCGGATTTGCGAACATCCTGTCGTATCTGCGATGACAGGCCCAAATGGGGATCATTGCATTTGCGAAGAAAAATCTCGCATTTGCGAGGAATGGCTGGCCTGGACTATTTCGCATTTGCGACTCAGCCCTTGATGCGAAGCCTGCTGGCCTGCAATAGAACAACTGAAACCTGCAATTTCCCAAGTCCAAACTCCACCCTGTGGCCTATCCAAAACTCACCGGAACCCTCGGGTCTCCAAACCAAACATGCACACCAACCTAAAAACATCATACGGACTTGCTCGTGCATTCAAATCACTCAAATAACATCAACAACTATGAATTTAGCATCAAAATCATGAAATTACCTAAGAACTTCAAATTTTCCGATTTTCTTAATTAAGGTCCGATTCACGTCATTTCAAGTCCGCTTCTTACCAAATTTTACGGACTCGACTTAAATCATATATAAGACCTGTACCGGGGTCCGGAACCAAATACGGGCCCGATACCATCAAATTTTAAGCATATTTCATTTTCAAAAACTCATAAATATTCCAGAAAATAATTTTCTTTAAAAATTCATTTCTCGGGCTTGGGACCTCGGAATTCGATTCTGGGCATGCGCCCAAGTCCCATATTTTCCTACGGACCCTCCGTGACCGTCAAATCACGGGTCCGGGTCCGTTTATCCAAAATATTGACCGAAGTCAACTTAATTCATTTTAAAGTCAAAATTCATCATTTTTCACAGACTTTCACATATTGGCTTTCCGGCTACGTGCCCGGACTACATACACAAATCGAGGTGAGACAGAAAGAGGTTTTTTTAAGGTCTCGAAATGCATAATTTATTTTTAAAACAAGTGATGACCTTTTGGGTCATCACATTCTCCACCTCTAAAACAATTGTTCGTCCTCGAACGGACAGAAGAATGAAGTACCTGAGTCGGGAAAAAGATGGGGATAACGGCTCCGCATATCGGACTCGAACTCCCAGGTCGATGCCTCAGCAGGCTGACCTCTCCACTAAACATGAACAGAAGGAAAACTCTTCGATCTCAACTGACGAACCTGCCGGTCTAGAATAGCTACCGACTCTTCCTCATAAG